GGGGGACAGCTCAGCCCACCAGCCCAGGCCATAACTGGGACAGTGATTAGCATCAGAGCCCACCTGCTTCTGCTCATTCATCCACCAGGTGGGAAGCCTGGAAGAAGGTTTTCCACTCCCTGCAACACCTCCCTTGGCCTGAGTCCGACTGCTGGGGAGTGCCTCAGCTGTGGCAAGGATGGGTAGCCCCTGGACTCAGTTTTGTCATATGAGGTGGGCCCCAGGCTGGTCAAGTGTCTTGAGGTCAGGAACCCCATAGAGAGAGAATGGGTCCCAGGGCAGGGGGCATTCAATGGTTTGGAAGTTGTGCCAGAGCACTCTGGCATCCATGGTGCCATGGGTGGCCTTGTTCTCATCAGCCACTTGGAAATCATTGGTCCAGGATGCCTGGTGGGCACAGAATACAGTAGATGGCTCCATGCAGGACCGCCAGCTATTGACTTGGGGGCAGGAAGCTGTATCCCATGGCAACCAGCTGCTGCATCATGTCCAGATGACTATGCATGATGTCCGGCACCTTCCTTTGATAGTGGTGCAGGGTGACAAACTCCTACATCTGTGTGCTTGGGTAGTGGGGCACCATGGCAGGGTTCAATCAGGCTGTGACATGGAGGCACATGTAGTTCATGAAGGAGCGTGTGCACTCTGGGGATCTTCTCAAAGCCTCAGGGCAGGGCACAAGAGAGGGTCTGCGGTGAGGTGGCATGGGGCTGGAGGCCTGGTTGCCCATGCCCGGCAGCCAGTCAGGGGTGGCCTGGGTACTTGGTCATCTCCAGCAACCCAGAGAGTCCACAGGGCATGCTGGGAGGCATGCAGGAGCACCCCCCACCTGTGAGCCTCAGTCAGCACAGGAGGCCTACACACCCCCCACCAATCCCCAAGGGCAAACATGTATTTTGTTCACTCCCCATCTAAATTAGGCTGCTTACAGAAAACCACACATCAATTTCTCCCCTGGCTTTTTGAATGTCTATATGTGACCAGTATTGCTAACTGAAATACTTTTCCCCCCACTGCCTTCCATAAGGGAAATACATCCCAGTGAACTCAAAGCACTGGTGTGGTATGTTAAAAATGGGTTTTTAACACTTGTATCCAATTAGGAATTGTATCCAATCAGGTTCAGGAACTCTGCAATTTGGCTCATAGGAGGTTGTAAAAGACACAATCCCTGCCAGTCCCCTTGGGTATTTGAGCTCAGAGATCTCAAGCTTCAAGGACTCACGGGAATCTCCTCTCTGTTTGGAAGCCTCTGAAATCTGTCCTCTTAACTGAGAGTTGTCTGAGAACATGATCACTGCCGCTTCTATTCAGGGAAGGAGGGCTTTGGTTTCACTGGCAGAGGGAAAAAAGTCACAACTCCTTTACAATCCCTCTCTCCTTCAGGGTAAAGGGGGTTAAGAGACATTCTTGCCCAGGAACTGGGTTGAAGTGGTGCCAGGGTGAAGCTTGTAGACAGCGGGGAGTGGGAATAGTATTTATACCTTGCTCTTTCCTAATAAGCAGATTAGGGATCACAATAAGACCAAGAATTATGAGCTACAATAAGCAGTATGCTACTCATTGCTTTTCCATGCGACTGGAAGGATTTTTTCTTTTACTACAATATTATACTGGTCAATGTGGGGTAGGTTTTCATGCCTTACCCCACTGGAGAGGTGATGAGGATAGGTGTAAACTGGAGCACCTCAGGTGTCCAGTGCAGGTATTCGGTTCCACAGAGGGATTCACTTCTGTAAGGAACTGGAGTTGGAAATAGACTTAAGTCCATTCGAGTATGCTGGGGTAGCCCATGTGACTGATCTTGAAATGGAACCAGTTGTGGCCTACCCTACTAGGATGGGGGAGGCTATCATTCAGCAGGGCTAGTAACTTACCTGTTGTGTCACACAGATGTGGCTACACTGCTTCCAGTACAGGTGAAAGCATGGTGGGCTTGAGAGAACCACTAGTGGACTTGGGAAGATTACAGAGTACAAGTGGCCTCAGAAAACATGGAACACAGACACATGAAGGAACAATACTTTTCTAGCAGTAATCCTATAACCTTTATATAAGGGGAAGGAGGTGGGGTCCCAGCAACGGGCTGGTTACAACTTGCCAGGTTACAACTTGCTTTTCTTCCAGCTAGGTTGGGACAATGGAACAGCAGGTTTATATCAGGCAATAGAAAGTAGAGTGCGTTGGGGTCACAGGTAAACTAGCTTCTAGGCTGTTCAGAGAACCTCAGCCCATATTCACCAGCCCTGTGTGAGTATGTACTGAGTCTTCACAACACAGAGGGCCAAATATTTTAGGCAAATACCTGTTTAAAGTGATAAAAGGCTGATTTTTTGAGCATTCTTACAGAGTTGAACAGTGCATACATCTCTGTGTTCATAGATATTTTAACTATATTTCCCTATTTGCTCTCTTCAGAAAACGGAGAGCTAAAAACAGGAGAAAAAATAAACATAGAAGAAGAGAATGTTTTTGGATAAATAGGAATCATTACTATTATTCCTGACAGTATTTTATTGAGACTAATATGGAAAAAAAAATCTCAGTTTAAAAAAAATAAGAATTGAATACAGCTGAAACAGTCTGTTGCATTCTTTGAAAATTAATATTTGTAAATGGATATAAGGAATATATTTATATACAGCAATATACATTTTAATTGAGGCCCTGAAGATAATTAAGCCATGAATGCTCTTGCATTTTTGTCGATCCGCCCTCTGATCAATGTGCCTATTTTTCAGGCTGGTACCCCAAACTGAAATGTTGAGTCAGGGCCTCCTGATGTGAAAACTCATTAGTTCTAACACAGACTAATCCCACATCTTTTTCCTAAAGGCCCCCCAGCCGACATGCTATAAGGTTAACCTGCCTATACCTAAATTTAAAAAGAATGTTCATATCTTCTATACAACCCCTTCAGATAACTATAAAATTACAAGTTAGAATATTTTTAAGCAGAGAGTCTTTACAGTTTATGTTCAGTGAGATAAAAGTACTATTCATTGGCAGTTTTAAAATACCTTCAGGTGAGTGCATTTTTCAACCATGCATAAATTTAATTTCTCCATGGATTATTATATCTATAATTATCTCGATAGACATATTATCTGCTCATGTATTTTCACCAGGGTGATTTGTGATCCAAAGTGTGGAGCTACAGAAAACATTGTGTGTTGAAAGGAACAATGTAACATTTTTACTCTACCTGTACCTTTTTTTTTTTTTTTTTAAGACAAAACAGACTGTCATATTAATGATATGGCACACCAATTGTATACTGCCAGGAATGATGAAACCCCAAGGAAGAAAAGGATAGTTTCTATGCAATTTAAGTTAGCTCCTCAGACTCAACAGCCTTCAAGATGTACTCTGAAAATCCAGGTCAGTAAGAGAGAATCATGCTCTCCTTTTTACTGGATAATGTCTTAAACATGTGAATGCAGCATGCTGCAAGACATTTCACAATGCTGCCAGACAAAGACCTTTTACAAGAAAAAGTAGGAGTGCCCCTCTCACACATTCTCTATACACACGAGCAGACAGCATTTCACAGAGAAGCCACTTACCTTATCACATCTCATCAGCCCTAAATATCTGAGAGACTTGCTGCTTTGTGCAATTTGGGTGGCTCCGTGGTCTGTGATTTCTTTACACCACCCAACATCCACCGTCTCTATTGTCATGCTGTATCGGCCAATGGCTATCAGAGCTACAAAAATATGAAAAAGTACATAAGTCAATAGTAGAATGGAAAAGCACACATACATACCCATACAAAATAAAAAATGAAACCAAAAATCTTATAGATCTTTCATAATTTTCCTGGGAACTAAGTTTAGAATAATTACAAGTGTTCTGCCCCGCATGTGGCTTTCACTAATAATTCTCCTATTTTACCTTTGAGAAATATCTTGTATGGTATAAAAGGGATACAGCCTGTTCCATAGCAACAGTTTATATGCATAATTAGACATACTGCTGAATTTAATTTTTACCCAATTGCTTCCCATCAAAAGAAAGTGAATTATGGTGAATTTCCTACAATTAATTAGAAGTTTTGCCACGAGTTATCATAGAATATAGTCAAGTAATTTAAAAAAATACAGTAACTTAATTCAGGTTCAGGTTTCACAGCTTCTCCCTTCTAAAGCATAACTTTATTTACAGAGAGCTAAAAAAATCATCAAATATCCCACTATATTAGCCATCCCATGTTTCCAGAGATCAGTTACCAGAATAGCATAGATTCTCCTGAAGAATTGATTTTTCTGAAGGATCAATCAATTGATGAAACTATAGAATAAAAGACAATTCTATCTGACTCTCATGAGAAAGCATCTCAGGGATTACATTACATTTATGAACAAACACCCTGCTGCTGTGCTGTCAACTGGACAAAACAATGCTACAAGGAAAATTCAGAGAATAACAGGATGTTTTCTGTGTCAGTAAAACGAGCAATATTAAAAAAAACCCCAACCTCACAGATTGCTGATAATCTTTCACATGAATTAAAAATTCTGTAACAGTATGCTTTAAGATCACATTTGATGTCCATAATCTATCTATAGTACATAAGTCTATATAGCTATTTACAGATATATAGAGAGAAAGATATATATATGCTGTAACAATAGTCATGTATTTTACTATTGTGCCGTGCCCAGGGTTAATTTTTAGTAAAGTTTTGTGGCAGGATTTTGTTAAACTATGTCATAGATTTGATGCTATAATATCTGCATGTTTTCAAATATGTAGTTTTAAAATTCTATAATGTTGTAATAACTGAAGTGTTTTGTGAATAGCACAGTGAGACAGTGGTGTTCTACATTCTCTTACTACTACTTCACTTGCAAGTTAAGTTTCTTGATATACTTTATTATGGGTGCATCGCTCTCTGCTATAAAAATATGTAAAAGACGAGAGCACATTCTGAATTTTTTTAAAGGCCACCTGAGAGGGTATTGTGGGACAGGATTTCAGTTTGCCTCCTCCCAAGACCAGACAGAGAGAGACTGTGGAAACTGAGGCTGGAAAGGTTGTGTTAGATATATGGTCTCTATTAGACATAATTTGGATCCTTTTCACATATTAATAATTTCACAGAAATGAGGAAATTGGGAACAGAACAAAAGGACCAGGAAAACTTTGATTAAACTGGATCTTGGTAAGAGAAAGGAGCTGCAGAATTTAAGGAGCTGAAAAAATCACTTTGAAAAAGAAGTTAAAGGCTCACAGACCACAATGGAAGTCGGAACTGGGCCAGACAAAGAACCTGGGTAAGTGAGGATATATACAATGCCTTGTTATCCTGTTTGTGAATCCAGAGGCCTATGGGGCAATGGTCATATTTTCACAGTTCATATAACGCAGTGAAAAACTTCCAGGGAAAAACTTATGGGGAGGCTCAGTTCAACATCAAGACCTAGTCCATAGTTCAGTGATTGTGAAGCTGAACAGAAGATAGGGATGCATCTAGCAGCTGACTTGTGCATCCCAGCTCTAACAGTACTGCAGAACTTTCCTGTAAAAAATCAAATCCTTCAGTCAAACCTTCGGAAAGCAGCCAACTAGAGCAGTGTTTCTCAACTTGTGGATCGTGACCCAAAAGTGGGGCACAAGTATAAATGAAAGGGTCGCGAACAAACTTTAAAAATGGATCAGCAAACTTTAAAAATGGATTCTCCTTTAAAGGAGAAAAATGTGGGAAACTGCAGCTTTCCCCTTGCAGGCTGTCAAGAGTTCCAGCCTGCAAGGGGCTGCTTGGGGCCTCCTGTGCCCACACACATCCCACCTCCTCCCCACACACCTACCCTCTGCCCTGCACACTGTGGGGCTGGAGCCTGGGGGTGGGAGCAGCAGGTTGGGATTGAGAGGCACCAGGTAGGGACTGGCCATCAATGTTTACAAATGAGGTTGAGAACCACTGGACTAGAGCACAGGCAACAGACAGAAGAAGAGGGAAAGAAGGGACACCACCTGAATTAGGAATGGTCTTGCTGAGACTTGTGCTCCTGGCAGGTAATAGTGAGGACTTCCAGGATAAATTGGCAATAGACTAACCTATGGATGCTCATCTGGATTTGCAGTTCAACATCAGAGAAAGAAGGCCAGATACACTCTAGCCTTCAGTTCACCAAGGGAAAAACCAGAAATGTAATCCTTTGACTGGCATTACTTATGCTACATGTCTTATGTCGGGTACATGAAGACAGTTTTGTGGAAACGTGGGAGAGTTTCCATCCCACAGCTGCATTCCCAACACTGCTCTAGGCAACGCCTCCTACTATTCCAAAAATGCACCGCTGACTATTGGCAGTGATGGAAAGATGAGACAACCTACAGCTTTGTTATATTTCTCTGCTGAGCTTATTTTACATGTCATCCTTATGAAAAGCCATCTAGGATGAAATAGAGAATATAACCTTTTCTGCGGCATTTTAAAGCAACCTAGAGAATGTTATGGCAGAAATACAATTCTCTACACAATTCTACAGCTTGGTGTACAGTACAAGAAAAGGGATACACGTAAGATTAGAGGGGGTATTATCCACTTGGAATATAATCTTTAAAAAAATAGTCAAAACTATTTTCAGGTACTGTACCCACCCTTGATTCTCCCTGCTGATTTTTGTAAGGTAATAGTCTCCCTTCTCTTATACTTTTACAAAAAAATTTCCTCTCAGCTGAAGAAACTTTTTCATCTGGTTAGACAGCCAGAATGGCATAGAAGGGCCCTAAACGCCTTGGATCTGGCTTGGAAAGAACTCCCCTACGGCAAACAGATACAAAGCTACATTTGGAGATCTCCAAGACCTAGAATGAGGGTGTGTCAGGGGCTCAATTGTAGCATGCAATGCTGAGGCTCATGGGGTAGCTAGTGAAAGCTGATGTAACTTGGACATGCTCTGAAGTCTAAATTGTACCTGAGCCCTCTTCAGCCCCTGCAGCGACCTGGACTCAGGAAGGCACAAAGATGGCTTAAAGCCACCTTACAGGCATAGCACATAATCTCATCCAAAGTACTGTCAAAAACAAAGTCAAGAAACTGGAAAAGAGTACAGAAACCTATCCTCTCTCTCTCTCTTTCAGTGATAGGAATCCAAGGTGGGGTTTACAGTAATAATAAACAGTTTCAGAGAGAAATATAATCTTTATATTCAGAGTTTCAGTTTGTGCTTTGACTCTTTTTGGAGTTTTTAAATCTGATTACATAGTTTTTAGAGTAAAATCTTAGTTACTTTCTATAGAAATGTATTGGTTTAGTTCCTGTTAAATTCCATAGGACTTTTCAATATAATAATTAAAACATTTTTGCTTCTTTTTGCCCAGTGAAAAGGTCTATGCCTTTTAGTAACTTCTGAGACCCTGATGCTGCTTGACTCTTACTGTGTATCTATGAATGATCTGTTCCTCCTGCACTTTTTAGGTATGAAACTTTTTACAAATTAATAGACTAGACTTAAAAAGAATAATCAACAGCACTCAGACATGGGAAGAACAAGGACATCTTCATAAAGTTAGCTCAACAGGCATTATTATTAGACTGCACTGTCATTACTTAACTCTCCAGTCACCCCGGAGTCATTTATTTTTTCTTAATCAGAACATGCATTTTATTCCTGTCTGTCTGCACAGTAACTAGAATATTATTTTGGGCACTACGATTACATCAATATTAATAGGAAAAGTACAAATGGATCTTTCAAAATTCTCCATGATTCAAAGCAGCGTGCTATTAAGGACGCTGTTGTTTTAAATAAGAGCCACCCTTCCCCACCTAACATTTTCACACTTTTTAAAAGTGAACAAATTTTGTCAGTGTAAAATTTCAGTTATTTCTACAGAATGCAATGTCTTCAGGCCTGGCAGACTGGCTAGCTTGCTAGTCTTTGATGAGTAAGAAAACAATCATCTGGCATGTGGGGCAGCTCAGAGTGCACAATTCCTGTGGCCAGCAGGAGAACAAGCAAAAACGAGCATGTTTTTCAGTCCCCACTCTGGGTTTCAGTCCCCACCAAAGTTGTTTCCATTTTTTGCCAACAACTATCTTTTGGAAAATACATTAACCAGGTTAAGAGCAAGCAAGAGGAAGTGTGCCATTGTGGTTTTAGTAGTTTGGCACTGCCCTGAGAAGACCCGCGTTTCAGTCTCTGCTCTCAGAACCATCCCATTTCAAAGTTTTGTTTAAAATTCTTGCCTAATTTTTAAAAGCTCTCCTGAGCTAATACTGAAAAGTGGACAGAGCACGGACTGGGAATAAGATTACTTAAGTTCTTAGCCTGACTGCCTCTGACTTGCTTCATGACTTTTGGCAAAGTCTGTTCATCATTTTTAAGCCACGATAAACATTGCCCATGCTGTTTATTTAATTGTAAAGTGTCAAGGCATGAACTATTTTGTTCTAGAGGTATAGTGCACACCATAACGGTGTGCTGATCTGAGCTGGATCTGTAGGTATAACCATGACAAATGCAAGGAACATAAACATTTTCTAACAAATCTAAGAGATAGCAAGTTACTATACTCACTGAAGAAAATTATTATTTTTATGACCACTTAATTTTAAGCTAAATAAAAAGATCTAAAAATTTAAATGTTAGGAATTAAAAGCCTCTTTCTCCTTAAGTTGTCAGTTAGTCACCAGTTTTAACAAGCACAATGTTTATACTGTTTAACACCTTGTTCCTGTCAGTCTGCTTTCAAAAA